GTGCCTAACAGCTTCACCAGGCTTAGACCACTTCCGCTGCCCTCCTTCACACAGTGCTATACCGAGCACCTACTACCACGTGACCCAGCTCACCCTTCGAGGAGCTCATATGCTTCCTGGGAGGCAAGACAAACAGGTAACAATGTAGCATGAGACAGACAGGTAGAAGGGCTCAGAGAAATGCAGCCCTGGGGAGGTGGAGAGGACCTCTGTTTGCACAGGGGTTGTCAGTCAGGGCAGCCTGCCTGGCAGAGGCGGCATCTGCATATAGAGCCATAAACAGCCATAATTGACATTATGTGTCTAGTGGTGTATTCTAGTCCGTGGGACTCTCACACTACTCTGGCTCTGAGCCACGCCCATGAATTATTGCATATGACCTTCTCAGCTGGCTTGAGGAGGTGGGATGACAGATAGGCTTTGAAAGATGGCTGCAGGCATGCTATGGGGACAAGGAAGAGAGAGCGGTCTGAGCAGGCGTGACAGCCTGGGTGAAGGCACGGAGACAGGACTCAGATCCTCGGCATCTGTTATCCACCCCAACCCAGGCGTGGCACCCAGTGGGCATAAATACCTGTGTTGAAAGTGGGAGGCCCACAGTCCTGGCCCCAGGCCTGGCAGAAGGCCCAGTGACGACCAGCCCTCATGTGTCCCCTCCTGAGTCATGGAGGCCCCTTTGGGGCCCTGCTGTCTGCCAAGGCCTTTCCGTCTGAGTGCAGGTCAGTGCCACTCATGTCTGGGCACAGGGGCTTCTGGGCCACTCAGTGCACTGGAGGAGGAAAACTGGAGGCACCAGCTCACATGAGGCTCTAAGAGGCAGACTGGTCGAACCAAAGCTGTGCCCTGGAAGCTACCGGATCTGAAGATAAGAACCAGAGTCGGCCTTGGGTAGGGAGGGGGTGGTACCTGGTTTTCAGCTTGGGGCGGGGTGGGGACAGAGTTCTCCAAGCTCACACTACAGCCACCACCTGTCCATTTGATAAATATCAATCGCGTACCTACCACGGTCCTGAGCACTGAGCAAGGCCCACAGACACCAGTAAACCAGACAGATGAAGACCCTGCCTTCTGGAGCTTAGTGGGCGTGGCTGGGGGAGGAGTTCATTCAAGAGTCACAATGTATATGATTAATTACAAAATTACAGTTGAGACTGGCACTGCTCAGGAGAGGTTTGAAGAGGCCTGCTGTTATCAGTTAGCTATTGCTGTATAGCAAGCTGTCCCAAACCTGGGTGCTTTACAGCAGCGACCATGTATTATTGCTCTTGAGTCTAAGGGTTGGCCAAGCACATTCCTGAGTGTGGCCTTGACTGGAAGGGCTGGGCCAACAGGGGCTTCCCTCCATGTGCTCTCATCTTTCGTCAGAGGCTTGTTTCTCTGGGAGAAAGTGGGGGGTGGGGTGTTCTTTTGAGACTCAGACTGGTAATTGCACACCACCACTTCCACCACACACTGTTGGTCAAAGCAAGTCCCAAGGCCAAGTGCGGGGAAATAGACCCCACCCCTAGACAAGAGGAGCTGTAATGGTACAAGCCAAGAGGCATGGATACAGGGACCAGGCCACCAATGCGATCGGTCAGCCATACCCTCCTAGTCCAAGGAGTCACTAGGAAACTCACTGTTGCTTTGTAACTTGAAGACTGTGCCAAGGGAAGAAAATGCCACTTTCCCAGGAAAAGAGAATATTGCGAGCAAAGGTGTTTCATCAAAAAAGGAACTTGGCTGAAAGCACTTAGGGGGGTCACCTCCAAGGGATCCTGATGGGAGCCTGGGTCAGAAGAAGGATGTTAGTGGAATAATCGGTGACATCCAGGTAAAATCTGGAGCTGAGTGAAGGGCAACATATCAGGCTGGTCCCTTGGTCTGACAGCTGTGCCAGGGTCATGTGAGATGTCAACAGTAGGAGAAATTGGGGGGGGCAGTATGTGGGGAGTTCTCTACTCTCTGGGCAACTCTTCCATAAACCTAAAGTCACTCCAGAATGAAAGGTTTATGTTTTTAAAAGGAACTCGGCACATAAGAGGAATGGGAAGAACATTGCTGTAGCCTGGCGCAGGGGAAGGCGGAGATGTAGCTGAAGATGCAGCGGGACCCAGTGCGCCGGCCGTCATTGGCCAGGATAAGGGTCCTGCTCTTTGTCACAAGAGCAGAGAGAAGCCTCTGAAGGGCTTTGGGTGGGGCGGCACCATGAACTCCACTGACATGGGAAAGGTCTACCTGCAGAACAGATCAGGAGGCAGATGAGCAGGGTGGGAAAAACGGTTACTTGTCTGCCCCCGTATTTCCGGTGAAGAAGGGGGCGGCAGTGGACGTGGAGGGAAGTGGGGTGTTCAGGGTGCATCTAGGAGGCAGAACACCCAGGGTGTGGTCTCGGACTGTATCTGGGGAGTCCAGAAGCAGGAGATGTGAAGGGTGGTGCCCAGGGGTGTGACTCGGACTACGGTGGGGGGCGGGGCCATTGTGGAGTGAGGGAAACAGGGAGAGGGAGCGTCTGAGACCACAAAACTAGTCCTAAGTGAGAGGCCGCCTTCTCCATAAAGCATCAGTCCAGGTGTCCCCTGAGCTGTCTTCTATGCCATCTGTGTTATGTCACTAATCCGTGTCACCCAAACATATGATTGCTCATGCTCCTGCCACCTGAGCATGTCATCAGTGAAGCGCTATCACCAAAAACACACCTGCATACGTCACCTCTGCGGCTACCTGATCGTGGCCACCTGGCTGTCGGCCTTGTCAGTATTATCTTATTACCTCATCAGGGCAGCTTCCAGCTGCGTGGCTTCTTTACAGAACTGGCACCTGAGCCTGTCACTGCGCACTGCCACCCACACAAGTCACGTAGGCAGGTAGCTTCTGTAGCTGATACCTGTGTCACCTCAACATGTCACTTTAGGTGACCGTCACTGTCAACAGAGCCCAGTCAAGAGGCTATTTTTTTAGTCTAGTGAGTTACAAACAAAGAACACCCTTCCCCGAGGGGAGACAGCCCCCGCTGTTTCCCCTCCTCACCCTGCTCTTTGAGAGCTGGAGGGAGAGGGGGCGGCACTTCCCCACCAAGTGCCCCCGATGAGAAGCTCCCGGTTCTCTCAAGTCTTGCATGGCAGTTGGTAGACCAGATGTCAACCTCTGTATATTCCATGTAAATGAAGGCATTTATTTATGCTAATGTGTGCTGGGTGGTGGGAGGGAAGGGGGCTTCAGAGGGGCTAGCTCCGCTCAATGAGACAGCAGGATGGAGACACCGGCTGGGGGCCCAGGTGTGGGGGTGGCGAGGGGAGGAAGGTGGAGGATAGTGAATCATAAGGAAATGCAGCTGGAAGACAGGAATGGGTGGGCACAGCTGAAATGGAGAAGAAAGGCGTAAATCTGAGGTTCCATTGCTCAGCAGAAGCAGGTGGGGAACAGAGGCCTTGCTGAGTCCAGCGGAAAATGTGTCCACGAGGGCGGGAATGGAGACTTGGACTTGAGGAACCTCCCTTCTCGTGGTGGCTGGGCTGGGACACAGGAGCAAGGCCAGTGCTCTTAAGGACGGCCCCTTCCTTCCCCAGTGGGGTCTCCCTGACAGGTCTGTGAGCCAGTTTGGTGGAGAGGCCAGCTTGCTTCTTTCCCCCAGGTTCCACCGCAGCGTGGGACCCTCTAAGGCCCAAACACGGTGACCCCACTTCCAAGTCATGGCCAGGAGAGGCTCCCTGGCTGCATGATTAGACCCAGGCGAGGCCGGGACTTGCTGGAGGACACGCAGGTTTCCAGCCTCTGCCCCTGCAGGTCAGGCTCTCAGGGTGGCACAGGCTGAAGGGACAATAGGAGACAGCACCTCCTCCAATCAGTGGCACCTGCCTGCCGGCACAGGGCTTGCAGTGACATCATCTCTAAGTCCTGGGAAGGACTGGCCCCATATTTTAGAGAAGAAAATGGAGGCCCAGAAAGAGACGGCATGACTTGCACAAGGTCACATGGTGGACCAACAGCATGGTGGGACTTGAACTTGGCTCTCTGACCCCACAGCAGGGCTCTTCGGTGCAGGAGTGAGAAAGAGCTGTCCCATCTGTGTTTTCTGTAGGGAGAGAGAACAACATATCAACACATTCTTAGCATGGTCTGACCTGCAGACACTGTAGAAAGATCTAGAACATGGACCATCCAACTATGGCTTGTGGGCCAGAGCCAGACTATTTTTAATAGTCCATGGACCCTGAATGTGTATTTTACATTTTCTTTTTAATGTTGGGGGAAAATCAAACCCAGAAGAAGATTTCATAATGCATGAAAATATTTGAAATTCACATTTCAATGGTTATAAATAAAGTTTTATTGGAACACAACCATGCTGGTTTGCTAACACACTGTCTGTGGCTGCTTTCCCTCTGCACAGAGTTGAGTAGTTGTGACCGAAACTATAAAAACAACAGCGCCTTAACGGTTGACCCTCTGGACTTTTAGAGGAAATGTCCAGAAGAAGGTTTTAGGGGGTCTCTCCTGTCCTCGTGGTCACCTCCTCTGAGAAGCCCTCCTGCCTACCTCAGGCAGAACCAGCCGCTCCCACTCTGTGCCCCGATAAGCTCACTCTTTCCCACGCGATTTGAAAACATGATCAGCGTCCTCACCTCCTTGTCCACTGGGGCAGCAGCTCCTTGGAGACGAGAATTTCACTGTGCTTCCTCTCCAGTCCCCAGGGCCGGGTGTAAAGGGGTAGCAAGGCAGCCTTCAAATTCCCATCCTGGCTCTTACTGGCCACAGCAGGTGGGGGGAGGGGTGATAATCTTGGTCCCTTTGGAGCCTCGGTTGCTGAGTTTATGAAGTGGGAATGATGATCCGTACATGGAGGGGGAGCGCTAGGCTGCACAGAGTGTGGCACGCAGGCGGTGCTGCGTGAATGCTGCTCCTCCTCTCAGCGCAGGACACCGGCGCGTCTGTCGAGGGAGGCTGAACCTTGGACTTCGGGGTGGCGCCTTCCAGCTTCAGATTGCGGGGCCCTCACCCTGCTCCTCTTCCTCCCCTAGGCTGCCCGAGGTCCGCGTCTCAGACAGTGGTCCCTACGAGTGCCACGTGGGCATCTACGACCGCGCCACAAGAGAGAAGGTGGTCCTGGCATCGGGCAACATCTTCCTCAATGTCATGGGTGAGTGCAGAGCCCTGGGCTGGCATCCGGGTGAGGAGCTGTGTGTACACATGCGCATGGAGGGCCTGTCCTGGGCACCAGCTGCCAAAGACCCATTGTGTTGGCAGGGACCCTCTTCTCTCCCACCTTTGCCCTTGAGGTGCAACCCAAGTGTCCTTGCCACTGAGGATTTCCTCTCAGGCCCCCCTCTTCTACCAGCACGGAGACCTTGACCTCATGAAGACAGAGCTGCGCCTCATTTCTGGGTCCACACAGACCGGGCACTTTGCAGGGGCTCGGGCAGGTCAATGAGGGCAGACTAGGGTGACGGAGTCATCAGAGCTCCCCAGGGGGCAGTGGACGGTCACAGGCTCTGGACCTCAGCTCTCTCTTCTGTACGATGGGGCTGAGACGCAGGCCTAAGGGATTGTCCATGCACCACGCAGCTCCAGGCTCCGTGACCCAGTGGGGACGCAGAAAGGGAGTTCTAGGGCACCGTGGGAGCGGCTGTGTGGGCACCTTTCCCAAGCGGAAGCCAAGAGCCATGTTCATTGAAACACCTGCGGGGAAAGTGCAGTCAGGAGGGGGCGCACCTTGGGAGTGGGGGGGCACAATCCAGGAGCCTCAGCGGTGACACACACCTGCAGGCAGAAAGATTCTGACTCGGCTGAATGTCCCCTCCCTGAACCTCCCAAGGCCTTTGCTGAGACGTGGGACAGTAAGTGATGATGTGGGAAGCAAGCTGGATTGGGTGTCGGGACTCCTGGCTTCGGACACTGCCCCTGTGCCTCCCTTTGTACATCTGCAAAGTGGCTGCCTGTGTCCCCGACCCCACCCCCACTCTCCCCATTTGTAAAAACAAGGGTCTTGCTCCTGGCGGTGTCCGAAGCCCCTTAAAGCACAGATGTTCTTGCCAGGAACACTCGGTTCTGCCTCCGGAACTCTAGGGACTTGGCCTCAACTCCGGGCTGCAGTGCTCTCCGATTTTCTTAGCAAATGATATTTATCAGGGAAACAAAGCCGCAGTACTCCGGCAATCAATGAAAGCATAAAGGCCCCGTTGAAAGCCGCTGCTTCTGGGGAGATTGAAACCCTCCGAAGGCCAGACCTCCAGAAGGACATCCATTCCTGCAGCAGCCGTGTGTGATGTGTGCTCTGGCCTCCTGGGGGAGGGGCCACGGTGGGGGAGGGGCCACGGTGGGGAAGGGGCGGTGCCAGGGAAACCTCCCCTCCTGCCGTCACCCACTCATTGATCCGCTCATGTAAAACACAAAACACGGACAGGGAGCAGTCTTGGTGCCCGGCCCTGGACAGGTCGCACCAGGGGACAGCTCTCAGTTGACACCATCCAGGGGCTCCTAGTCCCAAGAGGGACATGCAAGCAATCATGTAGTCATCAGATGTTTATTGAGCACCTACTGTGCGCCAGGTAATGGCCACATGCCTTTAACAGGACAACATCTCTGTCCTTGGGGGGTTTGCATCCAGCGTGTGAGATGAGCATAAAACGCACACGAAGGTGAATTAGTGAGATGGTTGTGGGTGGTGATAAATACCAGGGGGGAAATCAAGTGACCCCAGGTGGGGCGGCAGCTCCTTTAGGGAGAGGACTCAGGGAAGACCCCTGAGAGGCTGTGCTTTCCATGTGACATCATTTAGTCCTCACCACCAACCCCAGGGTGGGAACCAGCATTAGTGTCCCCATGTCACCGGTGCAGTTTTGGAGGCACAGGGAAAGCCAGCAGCCTGTCTGAGGTCACCCAGCCAGGATCGCCAGCTTCCCCATCTGTCTTCATTGTCGCTGGCTGCCCATGTCCCTGGTTTCAGCCCCCGCACGGAGAAGTCCCATCAATGACTCGTGACTCCAGGGATCTTTAAGCCAGTCTGAGAAATGAGTGGTCACAGCTTCATGCAGCCTGGTTCCCTGGAAGGGGCCCCCGCTCAGCCCTGTTTCTGGGAGTGGTGGCAGCTGGCCTCTGCCCACCCTGTCTCAACATACCCTGGCTCCCTTAGCCTCCACTCGCAGTTCCATCTGTCCTGGCACCATGTGTGCAGGGAAGGAGCCGGGGTCTATCCCTACTTTGATGATGACAGTAACACCTCACACCTAGCCAATGAGTGCCGCTTGCAAAGTGCTTACCACTAAGCATTTCACCTGATCCTCACAACAGCCTCTCAGGGGTGGGAGTACGATTATCCCCAATTTACAGATGCGGAGGCTGAGGCTCAGGGATGAGGGAGATTTTCTCTGGGCCCCGCAGAGCCGTGGCTGGTCCTGTCCCAAAGGAGCGTGGCTTCGTGGTTCTCCAAGGTCCAGAATGGTTCTCCCAGAATCCAGCAGCCACGTCAGCTGTGAGGCAGACCGAGGCTCAGAGAAAGAAGTGACTTGGCCAAGGTTGGTTGGGAGGATGAAGTGAGCTAATCCACAGAACAGAATGGTCTGGGCTCAGGCCAACTTCCAGTGCTTGATACATAGTATCTCTTCTAGTATCAACAAATAGTTACCACGCCAGCTAAAAAATCAGGCACAGTTGGAAAGGTGAAAACTTGTGCCACCCTCCCCCATACCTCCATGACTCTCTCCTTTATCTACATGTCAAGGAAGGTTTCAAAAATTACAATGTGCTCGTTGTTTTAGCCTGTCTGGGACATCGTATAGTCCTTTTCTCAACACACGTGCAAACACAGACACCCTCCCTCTTAGCAAGTAGAGGTCTTGCTGAGGAAAGCTGGGCTCTCCTTTGTGCCACAAGGGATCCTAAAGACCGTGGCAGCCATTAGGGGTGTAAAGGAGCCCCTGTCCAATTTGGAGGTCAACAGGAAGCTCCCCAGGTCAGTGAGGATGCGGGGGAGCCAGGGAGCCGGGCGCGGCCCTGGGCCCCATACGCATCAAAAGCACAGAGCAGTTCTGCAGGAGAGCCCAGCATCAAGCACGGAGTCCGCCATCACCGGGTTTACATCCAGCACATTCTAATGCGCTGTTTCCAGAGGCCTCCGGGTGGAAATCAAAATGCAAGAGTGGCTGTAATTTCACGCCTATAACATCCCTGCTCGGTGGTGAGGGAAGACATTCGGGAGCCCCGTGGGTGACACCGAGGATTCGTGCCGCACGCAGTCATTAAAATGTTTTTATCCGAGCTGCAGATAAATTGTAAGCCAATTTCAAAGTCGCATGCTGAGCCCCGGGAACGCATCGCGCACGGTCACAGAAGCGGTGCCGAGGCTCTCCTTGCGGGCCCAAGTTGCATGGGAGAGCATGTTCAGGGTGCAATGTTACAATCAATTAAACGTTGTGAGGCCCAGACACCCCCGCCCTGTCCGAGCCACAGACGCCGCTCTTCCGGTGCCACCAGAAGGCCAAGGCACAGAGCTGTCACCACCGAGGGGGCTCTTCCAACCCACAGCTAAGAATCACGGTCACATCCCATCAAACAGGGCCCGTGTGGCCAGCGCTGGGCGCTGCACATCAACCCAGTTAATCTGTGACCTTCAGGCTTTGTCACCCCCATTTTACAGGCGAGGGAACAGAGGCTCTGAGAGTTTAAGGCGCTCACCCATGTGAGTGACAAAGATGGGGGTCCCTCCAGGTCTGTGTGAGACCGGAGCCAGTGCTCCTGACAGCAGCTCTGAACACCAAGGGAAACGTCCGTGGCTTTGGCACAAGGCTGTTAGTAACTCCAGGGTCAGGAAGTGTGGGGGGGCGGTGCAGAGTGGGGAGAGCGAGGACCTCACCTCGGGGAGACCGAGGCCCCACCGGGAGCGCTTGGCTCTCCAAGGGCCAGACGGTCGAGTGGGGCTGCTTTCCCTGTGGGGGCCCACAGGGGTCTGAGAGGACAAAGAGCCCCTCTCCATCCCTGCGCCTCAGTCCCCACAGGTGCTTCTCCTGCCCTCCACTACCCAGGGTCCCTCAGTACTACTCAGTCCCTCCGAAAGGAGCACTGGACTTGGAGTCTAGCAGAAAATATACATATAAGAATAGGCGCCCTCTTGGCTACATCTGCAAAGACTTTATTCCAAATAAGATCACACTCCCAGGTCCCGGGGGTGAGGACTTCGACGTATCAGAAGGTGACCTGAACGCCCACACACGTGGGCGTTCTAAATCTCATTCATCCATTCTTCATTTGTTCATTTATGGAAGAAGTATTGATTAGGCACTGAGTACAGTCCAGGCATGGCTGGGTGCACTAGAATCTGGCTTCCGCAACGAGACAGACAAAATTCCTCAAGCTGCTGGAACTCATGGTGCAGGAAGGGAGGTGGGCACAGACAGACAGACAGCTGGACGCTGCAGCGGGTCAGCGGCGGTCATCCAGCAAAGCAGAGGCGGGCACAACCAGAGGGAAGTGGGACTCCTTGGCTATTTAGATTTTTCAAAACATTTTTTAGAGAGAGAGAGAGAAAAAACATTGATCGGTTGCCTTTTGTACATGCTCCAATGGGGGGCTGAACCTGCAACCCAGGCATGTGCCTGGACCAGGAATCGAACCAGCAACACTTCACCTTGAGAAAGGGCACCCGACCAACCGAGCCACACCGGTCAGAGGAGGTGGGGCTATTTTAAACAGCGTGGTCTGCCAGGCTTCTCCACAGTGATGCTCAGTGAACGTGAGGCCCGAGCCATGCAGACGTCACGCCTTCCTGCAGCAGATTCAATCACGACTGTTTCAGCACCTCTGCCTGCAGGCACAGGTCTAGAGGCCGAGGGGACAGCTCTAGAGGGAGCGGCTCACGGTGCCCGTGTTCAGTCCCAGGGCTGCCTGGCGCACATGATCACAAACCCTACGACTCCGTTACATCTGCATAAACCCGATTCTCAAATAAGGTCGCATTGACAGGGACGGGGTGGGGTGGGGTTAGGATTTCAAAGTCTTTCTGAGGGGAAACAATTCAACCAACAACAGCAGCAACTGGGCCACGAGGTGGCAGGGCAGGGGGTCACTCACTGCCTGACTCTGGGTCCGACCCTCTGCCCCCAAGCACACGGGTCACCCTGTGCCAGGTGCTGTGCCAGGCTCCGC